CATGTAAGGAATTAAAAGTATTAAGTGTGTCATCTACACTATCAGGCGGAATAGCAAGAACAATGTCATCAACGTATCTATAATAGAACAATGGTTGTGCCGACAAACAATTGATAGCTTGTTCTTCCAAGTCCTGCATTACTATATCTGCCAAAATTGGTGAAAGTGGTGAGCCCATTGGAGTACCGAAAACTTGTTTGTAAAATTTATTATTAAAAGTGAAAAAGGTTGAATTCAAGACAAGGCTAACAGCAATAATAAATTCATTTTTAGGAATATTAGTCTTAAGAGAAATGTGACACCATCTTTTTTCTATGCCATCCATAACTAAATTAAAAGGAATATTTGTAAAAAGGGAAACAACATCTAATGAAGCTAGTAAATAATGCGAATCAAAATGAGTACCTCTTAATTTGTTAATTAAGTGGAAACTATCTTTGATATGGCTAGGAGCTGGTGGAATGCTAACATTAATTATATTGTGTAGGAAAAGGGAAAGGTAATATAATGGACTATTGATAGAAGAAACTATGACTCTCAATGGGTTCCCAACTGTGGTTGAATTAATTTTGATATAATATTTTTAAAGAAGAATTAATCTACTTGGGTTGGAATAGGAAGATCTTTCAATATTTATTTTTGTAAAGAAGATTTAAACCATTTGGATTGAAATAGGAAGAACTTTCAATAAGAATATGAAGACATATATGGTGCTTAGATTTCATTGTATATGAAGATAAAGATAATACTACATGGGTTTTACTATTTAATTAATTAGAATTTAATAAGAATAGTACCACATGGGTTTTTAAAAATATTATTAGAATTTAACTTGGCGCCGACTATTGATATCATATCTTTTATACAAATGATACATGTCATTAGAATTAAGTAAGTGTAAGGATAGTACCTCTTAGGCTTGTCAAGATAGTAGAATTTAACTTGGCGCGCCGACTATTGATATCAGATCTTTTATACAAATGATATGTGTCATTATATGAGGATAAAGATAGTATACTACATTTATTATTATACTATTTATTTTTTTTTAAGAAGAATTAAACCATTTGGATTGAAATAGAAAGATCTTTCAATAAGAATAAGAACTACATGGGTTTTACTATTTAATTTAGTAGAATTTGATGAGAATAGTATCACATAGGTTTTCAAAGATCTTTTATACAAATGATACGAGTCATTAGATCTAAGTTACATCTTGGTCTACTAAACAGTAAATATGATTAGTCGGTTCAACAACCGATTAAGTAGTTGGCGTTGGTGAAACTGGCCCAAACGGTTTTTTTTAACACAACCCCGTACCTTTAGCACATATTTTACCTTTTTTTTAAAAAAAAAAAAAAAAGGTAAGTTCATATACGATTATAGAATCTAGGTTATATCTTGGTCTACTAAACAGCATAAGGATAACACCACGTGGGTTTTTAAATCGTAGTTTCTAGGCGCAAAATTCGACATGTTCAACGCAATTACAAACTATACTGTTGTATGAAACTTGTATTATTGTGAGTTGAAAATCTTTGTCAGATGTTCGAACAAGGAAATGGTGTCAATGACGCGGTCTGACAGCAACTGCATTGACAGCTAATGGCCGTCTAATGGTAAATTCCGGTTTCATATTTACATACCTGATATATGAATTATGGGTTTTTACTTCTTTAATTACCTAAACAGATTATGTTTTCATTAATATTATATTAATGAAGTGCAAAGATTAGACGATTTACGAGAAATAAGAGGGTGTCACTTTAGGAGACTTACGTCAGTATCGGTGACTTTCCTCTAATATGTTACGTCCAAGCCCTAGGATTCTTTATTTCATAGGAAAATTTAGGAGTTGTGGAGAGGACATGGGAGGACGCAACTAACACCGCTCTTGTGGCTATCGCTTAAAGACGCGTGCCACAAGTCAGAGACGCATTAGGTCACAGATATGGGTGAACGTCAGTGTGTGACGCTATTACCCGATCTGGGACTGTGTCTCTGTCGGTCCCCTTTTTAGATCAAGGAACTTAATCCTTTTGATCAGGGATCGGACCGTGCGACTTCGTGGAATGAGGAATGAGTCGGAGATTTTCTTAATGAATTACAGCGATTTGTATACTAAGATAAAATTTATTTTTAATACATAAGCAAAAAAAATGGAATACGCTAATATACAGGGTGTCCCAGAATGAGTGTCAAAAATTACACGAACAGGTAGAGCGGATTGAACTGAGTCGAAAAGTCCTCTACCGTTTTGCAATTTTCGTAATAGTTAACGAGATAATAATTGGTAAAAATTACCGAATACGTGCATCCGCCCGTCCTACTACTGCCAACAGTGTACGCCCATGATAGTTCTGGCGCGCGGACCGCGGAGAGCGGGGATTGCCTGGCGAGTTCCAAACGTCGTGACTCGCCACGCAATCCCCGCTCTCCGCGGTCCGCGCGCCAGAACTATCATGGGCGTACACTGTTGGCAGTAGTAGGACGGGCGGATGCACGTATTCGGTAATTTTTACCAAATATTATCTTGTTGAATATTGCGAAAATTGCGAAACGCTAGAAGACTTTTCGACTCAGTTCAATCCGCTCTACCTGTTCGTGTAATTTTTGACACTCATTCTGGGACACCCTGTATATATAAATGCTTTAGTAAATTTTATAAATTGTACTAAATAATATTTCTGTATACACGAATGTTTGAACATTTTATTCTACTATTTCTATAACTATTCTAACAGTTTTATTATAAATCATAACATTTCGAATTATTCTAAAGTGATAGTGTATATCTCGGTGTATGTATGAGTGTGTGTGATTTGTTGTGATGGTTCAGGTGAGGGGAGGGGAACTTCGGCATCGAGGTATTCTTCTATTTCGTGATACAATTCGTTGTGAGAGATATTTCCCTCAACAGGGATGAGAGAATAAGAAATAGGAGTAAGTGGAGGGAGAGAGAGTGAAATTGTTTCGGGAGGGGGAGGAGATTCGTCACCGACAAATCTACAACAGGAATAGCGTCGGTCGTTGGCGGTGAAGGTTGTTTTTTATTATAGGTGTGCGGGCATGTGCCTCTATGCGCTATGTGTAGCGCTATTTTCTCCTTTGAAACGCCTGGCTCAAGTTTTAATTGGTTATGCTTGGTGCAATTTGTAACAGTGCTCGAAGGACCAGTGTTGGCAAGAAGCAACACGAAAAAGAGTTGACAATGATACTTATTTATTCTTATAAAAATCATGCATGTGCATGCTTGACAAGCGTAGAACACAGAAGTAAGCGAACTAGTAAGAAGAAAACGGAAGTGGCGCACGAGCAGATACGGAAACGAGCGAACACAAACGAACGCAGAAACGAGCGCTGATGAGCGAACGCTGAGGAGAAGGGGAACGCAGGTAGCGCTCCTTTCAGGAGGAGGGAGCGTAGCAGAGCGAGCGAAAATACAAAAGTGAAAAGCGCGTACAAACCGCCGCCCTTGAAAGCTTCGGCTTTCAACAGAGTAATGTTATGTTTACGCAATTCAAAGTACAAAATAATATCATAGATTAAATGAAATGATGCGAGCTTAATTACTATCGAAGGGAAGAACGCATAATCGTGTAATGGGACGCTTATAAATGCCAGACGACGTGCGAATTGTGACTGTACGAACAATGTTGTCATTACCGGGATGTAATTCGACGATTCTAGCGAGAGGCCAAGAAAGAGGCGAAGCAGAATCCTCTCTTAGAAGGACCATCTGTCCGACATGTAATGGATTTTCCTTAGTTGTCCACTTATTTCGCTGCTGGCAATAATGCATTCCTTTGACCATCTTTGCCAAAAGTGTTGACGTATTTGCTCCACCCGTTGCCAACGAGAGAGCCTAGTAATCGGGATCCTTTCCAATGACGGTTCCGGGTACGATGTCAATGGTGCTCCGATTAAGAAGTGACCTGGAGTAAGTGGCGTAAGGTCAGCCACGTCAGATGAAACGGGTGTGAGAGGACGCGAATTAAGAATCGCTTCAATTTGGATAACTAGTGTTTCTAGCTCCTCGTATCTTAGATGCGCCTCTCTAGTAACTCGATAGAGATGACGTTTGGCTCCCTTGACGGCAGCTTCCCATAGTCCACCTTGATGGGGCGCTCTAGGAGGTATGAAACGCCATTTGATTCCTTTAGAGGACGCGTAGTTAACAATCCGTTGATGGCTTTCTTGATTCTTGAACAATACGGCTAGCTCATTCAATTCTCTTTCAGCTCCTTTGAAATTTAAGCCATTATCCGAATAAATGATAGTTGGGCATCCTCGCCTAGAAATAAAACGCTTTAAAACATTGAGAAATGCTTGAGTGGATAAATCAGTTGCTAGTTCAATGTGAACAGCTGTTGAGGCGAAGCAAACAAATATTGCAATATAACATTTTAATAGCTTAGAAGTTTTTCTTAAGCCTTCTTTATAGTAGAGAGGACCCGCGTAGTCGACTCCGCAATTTTCGAAAGGACGCTCGGGAATTGTGATCCTGGATTCGGGAAGGTTCCCCATTAGCGTGGATGCCATCTTAGGTGAGCTTCGAAAGCAAACAATGCATTTGCGAGTAATTTGTCGTACAACGTCCCTTGCAGCTATGAGCCAATAATTTTGTCGAACAGCAGATAACGTGGCGTGGGGCCCTGCATGAAAGTGTTTCTCGTGCTCGTGTATGATGATGAGACGAGAAAGCGGATGATTTCCAGGCAATAAAGCTGGATATTTGGCATTGTACGGGAGATGTGATAATTTGAGTCGACCTCCTACTCTCAGAATTCCTGCGACATCGATAAACGGATTTAATCGTACGATTGGGCTATTTTTGTTAAGATTTTGTTGTCTGGAAAACGATTCCAATTCCTTAGGGAAATGCAGTCTTTGAACTATCCTCAACAAAATCTTAATGGCGTGGTCCGTTTCATCAGGAATTATGATAAGAGTTGTATTGTTAGCAGATTGTAGCTCCTGATCAGGATTGATTCTTTGCTTTAATTTGTTGAAAAATCTAAAGATGTATGCTACGATTCGAACAAGTTTCATGAAATTTGAGAAGCGCTCGAAAATATCAAAATATGGCAGCGTAGCAGTAGCTGATGTGATAGCAGAAGATTTGTATTCAGGTATATCTCGTTTGTTGATGGTGAATGGAAATTGAGGCCATTGCCCCTTGTCAAGTTTCAGCCAAGCGGACCCCGACCACCAAAGATGCGCATGTGGCAATGCAACTGGAGATATGCCTCGGGATAAAAGATCAGCTGGATTGTCCTGACTGGATACATGATGCCAGTCTTGTATAGTGGTTAATTGTTGGATATCGCCAACACGATTGGAGACAAATGTCGACCATGTACGACTAGATGATTGCAGCCAGGCTAAAACTATGGTGGAGTCGGTCCACAGATAAATAGATGTAATTTTGTGAGTAATTCGTTTCAAAATCTTGTCGGTGATCTGAGCCAACAAGAGGGCTGCGCATAATTCCAAGCGCGGAATTGATAAACTCTTAAGTGGAGCTACACGGTTTTTAGAGCAGAGCAATCTAATTGAAATGTTTCCGTCAGCATCAGTGGCACGTAAATAGATGCACGCGCCATAAGCTCGTTCACTGGCGTCAGAGAAGCCATGGAGCTCTAAGTTGATGTGTTCACTTAGCGCGATAGCGCGTCGTGGAATAGTCATGTCTCTCAAAATTGGCAACTCACGCTCGTAGCGTTTCCATTTAGTGGTTGAATCCAAGGGAAGAGCTTCATCCCAGCCAATCTTGAGGAGCCAGAGTTGTTGAATAATGATTTTAGCAATGACAGTCGCAGGTCCAAAAAGTCCGAGAGGATCAAAAACCAAAGCGACTCTTGATAGTACTTGCCTTTTGGTAGGCGTAGCCAAAGGTGGCAGACAGGAGATACTAGAAAATTGGAAGTGATCATGGGTGCAGTTCCACACAAGACCCAGTGTCCTTGTTTCGCATTCCTTGTCGGAAGATAGTACGAATTCCTTTTCAGGATTGGAAAGTTGATCGTCTTGAAGATCAGGTACATTAGAGAACCATTTGCGTAGCTCGAAACCACCTTCAAGAAGCAATTGCCTTGTCTGAATCTTGATGGAGGAGGCATCTTGTAAATTGTCAGCGCCGGTGACCAAGTCATCAACATAAAAGTCGTTTAAAACTGTCCCGGATCCAACGGGATACTTCTCAGAGTTATCCTCAGCTAATTTCCTGAGCGATCTAATGGCTAGGAAGGCAGCAGATGCTGTACCGTACGTGACGGTCAGAAGCTCGAATGTTTGAATGGGTTGATCCGAAGAGTCACGCCAAAGAATGCGTTGCAGAGAGGTTTGATTCGGATCGATTAAAACTTGTCTGTACATCTTTGCCACATCTGCAGTCATGACATATCTGTACATACGAAATCTTATTAATATTGAAAGCAGATCATCTTGTATAGTGGGGCCTACCAATAATGCATCATTTAACGAGATTCCAGTGGTTGTTTTGCAAGAACCATCAAAAACCACTCTTAGTTTGGTAGAAGTACTCGTTTCTTTGTATACGGCATGATGCGGTAGGTAATATGTTTGGCTGTCATTATTTGTAATGTGAGTGACCTCACGCATATGACCAAGTTGTATGTATTCTTGTATAAATTCTTTGTATTCTGCATGTAATTTAGGAGAGGTAACAAAGCGTTTCTCTAAACATTTGAAGCGGCGAGTGGCTATTTCCCTTGATTCACCGAGTTCAGATAGCTTGTTAGGTATGATCGGTAGCTGGACCACGAAGCGTCCATCGCTGTTGCGTTTGACAGTGTCCTTGAATAGATTCTCGCAAGATTGGTGCTCTGGAGAAAGAGTTGAAGCGGATATCGAATGATCCAATTCCCAGAAACGACTGAGAGCATGATTTAAGTCTTCTGTTACAGCTAAACAACTGATGATTGAAGAACTGGAGTTACTAGGAATACTTGATGTCGGACCAGATAAAATCCATCCCAAGAGAGTTTTCTGCAGTGTTGGTTTATTTCTAGAAGGTTTAATTTGACCTGCGCAAATGAGCTTCCAAAATATCTCAGCGCCGATTAGCATGTCAATGTCAGCGGGAACATTAAAATCAGGATCGGCCAATTTTAAATTATTTGGTATAGTTATATTCTGTTTGGAAATGAATTTTTGAGGCAATTGTTGAGTAATTTTTGGCAAAACAACGCATTCTATCCTCTCGCTAAAATTGTTGAACCGCGATTTTATGTGAACGACTGTCGCTTGATTGGCTCGAATGTTAGCATTAGTTACACCTGAAATAGATATCTCTATTTGCCTTTTATTGAGGCACAATTTGTCGGCAAGACTCTGCGTAATGAAATTCATTTGTGATCCGCTATCTAACAATACACGACACGAATGGATGTGATTATTACAGTCAAATACATGAATAATAGCTGTTGATAATATAATTCCTAGAGATTGATAAGTAGATAAACATTGTGTTGCAACTGGCTTCGCAGAAGTTTCTGTATCGGAAGTCACAGCTGCTTTCGCATTAGACGACTCGTTAGCGTCTGCTGATTTTGACAAATGTAAAAGTGTATTGTGTTGACCTTTACATTTGCGACAAGAACTTGAATTGCAATTTTTAGCTTGGTGAGAATTAGATCTCAAACAGTTTAAACACAAATGAACCTTCTTTGCAAAGGCGATTCTGCTTTCTACTGGTAATTTGAGAAACGTTTCACAATAGTA